TTATAGCTATGCCCTGTAGTTGGACGGGTCAAAGCGGTCACCTTTTGTAGGGCTCGGGTGCACAAGCGCTGCCTTCCAGGAGTTCGAAATAGAATACATCTAGAAGTATCAATAAAAATTTCAAAATTACGATACATTAGTAAAGACGAATAATAACTAATGACATAAGAAGAAAGTACATATATCATCGTTATTTAACAATGGATATTAAAGATACCATGTATGTCGACCAGCTTAGTAAAAAAAAGGTGCCAACACATTTTATAATGACAACTAATTTAAACTTTATCTGTTTTAAAAGACCATAAACTGAAATTATAAAAATAATTATGTGACGCTAGTAATGGAACATGAAGCCTTCCCCTTGTAGCTTAGTAGAAATAAGCTCTGACTTGAATGACTGCCTCGGTGGTGCAGCGGTAGTGTATGCGACTGCTGTGCCGAGGACTCTCGGGTCGGATCAAATGTTTGTATGATCTGCATTGAGTTAAAACAACACTAGAGAAGCAAACCTCATTATCACACGTCGAAAAAAGTGTATCCACTTTTGAAATTTGACGACGTAGCTTTGATACCACTAAACATTTGAAAGTAAACATATTTATGTCTCATTTACACGCGAGACAAGAACAATACCATCGCTCAGATTAGACAAAGACAAAGACATAACTTTACGATGGTGGGCCAGTGTTGACTACCGTATGAAATTTTACCCATAACAACCAAGAAACAATTTTTTTTAAAACAATTTTGTAATAAAATAAATTAATTTAAAGATTTTAAATAATATATTTCGAATTGAATGGAATAGGTATAAATAATAAAATAACTAGAAATATTTGGTTAAAAGGGTTTATATTCAGTGTAAAATCAAACTCCGCTATCAGTTTTGTATACAATTGTCTTTTAGACTCTTTTTTATAAGTTTGTGTGAATATTTTACTTTCATGATACAATCTTATTTTTACCTATGTATAAATAATGGCATTTAATAGTAAAAGTGAATGATCAACTTGTACTGATAATAAATAATCCCCAGGTTGTATTGCAAATTCTTTTAATATTTTAAAATACAAATAAAAAAATATATATAATATATATATATATATATATATATATATATATATATATATATATTGTTTTTTAAATTTTTTTATTTATATTTATTTACTTTTTTATTTTATATATATATATTTTTTGTACAATTGTTATTTATATTTGATAATTAATTAAGAAAAATGAATGAATGAATTAATTCTTTTATACAAAAGTCTCCAGCTCTGCGAGCTTGGCAGAAGGTGAACATTCATCGGGTCCCTAAAAAAAGTGATCGATTCAGCCCTAACAACTACCGTTCTTCCTATATTTTATTGTTATTGACAAAATGTTTAAAAACAGTATAAAGCATATTATTTCATAAATTATAAATTCTCCCACTATTGTGGGAAAACAAAAATGATTTTTTAATGGTAACACTGATTCTAAATTACAATTATCAATGTTTTATTTCAATTATAGCCTTATTTACGATATTATCAATACAAAAACCATAAACTTACACGTGATAAGTAATTCCGAATGATTTATTATGGTTTTGTGACCTTGAATCGCATTCTTTCACTACGCATTTACCCATTTTGGCGATTGTTACTGTCATGTGTCGCTATGTTCAACTCGGTTGACGCCACATTGAACACTGAATTGACGTTTGCTACGCATATGCCTGTGGACAGATGTGCAGTAGCAACGATTTTAGGCGGTAATTACTCATCTATGTAAGTATTATATCAATGATGATCTGCAAATATTTGTTTCGGAGTTTGGGTGTTTTCTATGTATAATATGTATGTATTTACAAAAAAAAAATTAAGTACTCTATCAGTCCATGATCTAGCTTTCATAGTACAAACTCTGCTTATTTTGGAACTAGATGGCGTGGTGTGTCAAATGTCCGAACATATTTTATAAGCTGCACAAGACGAATTTTAGTAGAAGATTCTCTGTTTAATAAAAACTTTCACTAAATCTAGGTAAGGCATTCAACCAAATTGTTACAATTTATTTGTAAATGACTTTAATTAATGTCTAGAACCTAATGCAAATACACAGGTTTATGCCTACAAATATTTGCTCTAAGCGGTAATTGAACTTGCATCTCTTGATGTTTAAAATGGATCGATTTGGGAACTGTGATTAACAAAGTAGCCATTTCTCGCAGATTTTAATAAATAAAAATATTCCATTTAATATTTTTACTTTTATGTCTACAAACAATTTGCATGCTGAGATGAAATTAAAAGACATTAATGTTGCCAAATCCTCTAACTAATAAAAGCCAATGTTACTTACCTACAATGTGCACTTAAATACCTTTTGACATGGCAATGAATATCAAATATTGCATTGGACATCAAATAGTATCTTTGTATCGAATTTAAGTAATAAGTTTATTGGTTAATTGTGTTTAAATTTCAAGTTAATTCATTTACTTATTACACGTTTAGATGAAAGAAAAACATATTCATTAAATGAGTCACAGTTTATTAATTCAACTAACGTCTTAGTGAAAATAGCACCCAATTAACTTAGCAAGGTTACTGTCAATTACTCAGTGAGTTTTGTTTATCGTAATGTATTGCAAGCTATCCTATTAACTGCTATTGTGAGTGTTTGCATGAGTGATCCTCTTACTGCACTTACTGGCACTGTGAAACTTTAAGGCCCGTATTTTAAAAGACCTCTCAAGTGTCGGTTGAACTCTGATTGCCTGAAACTAGTTTTAAGTGCAGATCAAATCTTCAACACATCTAGTTTCAACTGAGTAAAAGTTAAAACGCGTTCTATAATAAAATCTCTACTTAAAATTAGTTTTCAGACTAGATTCACGACTGAGACAACTTTTAAAATACGGGCCTAAGATGGCGAAACGTAATTTAAGTTACATGTTATGTATCTATCTTACTAAAATTTAAGGAAATTATTATAAAGATAAATAAAGACTAAAGTCTGAATTATTTTTCTATGTATTCTGTACATCAATGCTGCTCAATAGTTGCAACGTGAGTTTCCGAGTTACGGATGAATACCAATTTAATTTCAACATCGTCGATAGTCTGAACTAGTTTAATTTTTAAAAGTTGTGTGGGTGCAATCCGTAAACAAAACAAAATCAATTCAGTGAAGAATTCAATTCCACTTCACCTTTTATCCACGTGCGAGTTCCAAAAAGTCATTGTCGTGTCTCTCGTCACTATCGAGTGTCTTTTACGGTCGTCAAGTGTTTGAACTAGTACTAAAGACGTATTATTATAAGAAACTATTGGGGACATAGAGTGATGTGATATGTTTATACGTATGTTTCGATCTTTATGATTTATTGTTGATTGTCAGGTGCTATATATTTTAGTGCCGCGATCGAAATTTCTACGCCAGCTTTCACTTGAACTGATGATTCAGCCACGCTATGATTTGCAAGCGTTTGAATTAAAAGCTGTTTTGAATAGCATACTATTATAATTAATTTTAGTTAAGTACATTATGATTTCATACTTATTTTTGGGTTGTGTAATCAGCTATCGGGTTGCTTAGCTACACAAGTTGTACATGCCAGAAAATAATATTTATATGTGTTCTGGCAATATAACATAGAAGTGGATCAGTTTTCGACCTTATACTTTGAAATGAGTTTGATTACGATTTTTGTCGGGATAGTATATTTTTTTGATACTCTTAAGGAATATAGTAAAAAAACGGTTTTCTAAAAAATCAAAAATAGTGACCAAAAAAATAATACTTTATGTTTGAAACCAAAATAATAAACTACTTAAACTATATTGCAGCTTTCTGGAAAGCACAGTGAGCATCGAAACTTCGATTACGTGAAAACAGTTTTGTAAAAGTCGAACTCAGTCAAATCCCATGCTTTCGCCATGAGAGGTTTTCGTAAGTACACGTAAAGGCGACAACCATGTCAAACAGTTATGTCACACATTTATTTACACACTTTTTAATCAGTTTTATTACAGTTTAATGTTGATTAAGTAAAATTCTGTTCGGTTTTATATCTGTTATAAGTAGTTATAAAAGTTATCATATAGGGTAAATTTGCAATAAATTTGTTTCTTGCATTAGAAGTTAAACATCCTTTGCAGCACTTTTTGACATATGCGCAATATTTATGCTAATAAGAAAACTGTTATTACATTACATTTATTGTATATTTGTGATTCGGAATATATAGCGTGTCGCGGTTTGCTGTGGACACGTCTGATGTGCAAGATAAGGCGGCAGGCAACGCTTGTCCTGCGAAACGCCTAATGGCCGACATCGCCGCGGGCGCAACGTGCCTCACAGTTTAAATTGAACGTCAAGCTATCGATTTGCATAAATCACATTGTTTCCATTTTCAATTATTTGACTAGTTATATTATACTCGTACGATCAAAACATCTCTGATTGTCTGTGACGTTTGATGTACAGAAGCTGTAGCGGTAACGAAGTGATCGTATTGTGGCAATTGTTGATTGAGTACGTTCTTTTATTACTTGAACAATTGGCGTCCTAATTCTGAAACATAAATTAATCGAGAAAAGTAGATGTTCATAAAAATTCTAAATAATATTAACAGGAATGCTAAAGTTAAACTAAAGTTCATATTGTTAAATATGTATGACATGAGTATTAAGGGAAAGCTGACGATGTGAATAATTTTTTATTGCGTCGATTCATTTATTATTCGAAGTTCGACTTCCATAAATTACGCCCTTTTATTTTGACAGTACATATATGTTGTAAGCTGCATCGTTTGAGTAATACTTAATTTCAATTACTTTGGTATTTGTGCTTTATTTTTCTCGATGGGTAATAAGTACATAACAAGTGAATATAGGACGACCGGAGACCGTTGCGCTTTGTACATACCTAAGTATTTAGCAAAAGTGTTTATGAATTTATTTGAATTAATGAGAGATGATATGTGAGAATCGCCGTTAGCAGTAAATATGGTGTTGTACCGTGACACGAGAAGAACAATGGCCACACTATTATACAAACTCTCGCAGTGGAGCTGGGCGACCACGCCTGCCGCTTTCCGCGAACAACTTGACGGCTCTGATAAACGTGAACCTTATTTAAATATTTATGAATGCGACTCATTCGGTACCTCGTCATTGAATGATAACATAATTAAGACACAAAAGCTTATTAATATGCAGTCTGCAATTGAACGTTTTCTACGATGACGATGCAAGATTTATAATGTTTGTATCTCGTTTATTCTTTGTATAGATATACTAATAGACAAAGAAAGAGATCAAATAATTTCTTATTCAACTGATTTTCTTTGTTTGTTTTGTAACTACTGATGAATATTAGTTTACAGAAATTGTGGAAACTTGTTCCCTATCCGCTTTATGTTTCTGAGAAACTTTTTGATCTTTTTTGTGCACAATTTTAATATTGCAAATGCTCATATTTATGATATAAGCAGAACCACTTGGAGTAATTAATGAGAGACATACCTACATCATATATGTATAAGTGTGCACATATTGTATGAATATGTACATTACTGTATGTGCACTTATTTCTAAAAATATCAAAGCTAAGTCGCAATTTATTATAAGCACATAATTAAAAACTATTTAATGTTATTGTTGATAACGTACGACGATGAACTATAGGTATTAAATACCAGACATATTAATAGAATGTCCAGACTTTTCTTGTATTTCGACATGAATATTTATAATACTATGTTAGTAGTTAGTAATCTACCTACACTAATATTTTTTTAGAAAAATGGTAACTTTTAACACAATTAGTTCCACTTATGACAATATTATAATGTGACTATTGTAGTTTGTAAGAGTTGTAAGTTGCAATCTTACTCGACCTTGAGGCTTTCTAGAAACTTGCCAAAACCCAAAATTTCTCGAGAATTAAATATAATCGATCGAGAATTATATGTAGTCTTTATACTATAATCTTGTATCTTGATTTCTACGGTTATCATAGTTATGTTGTGTAGGAAATACTGGTAACAATATTTCTAGTTTTTTATAATGTTCTTTTTTTAATAAATATCCAAGTACTCCAAGGGCTTGTGACTCTTGAGATACTGGTGTCCATGGGCAGCGGTAGTTACTTGCCATGACTGACCCGTCTGCTCGTTTACCTCCTCATGCAATAATAAAATAAACTTTAAATTTTTTCATGTGTAAATTCTTTTTAAAAAGAAGTTGAACCAACTTCAAACAATACTAACAAAGAGTACTAAAAACCTAGCAGCAATCGCGGTTAATCTGCTGTCATTTTTTGAAGAGTTCCGTTGTCTGTCTCCGAGGTTCATCATCAGATCTATATGAAATTTAAATGAGGCCATTTCGGCAAAATCCATTCGAACAAAAAAATAATTTTGAAAATCCGTCTTTATATGACGGAGTTATGCCCGAACATACATAAAAAATATAAACATCAGAATTGATAACCTCCTCCTTTTTGAAGTCGGTTAAAAAGTAGGATGCTACTAAAAATGTCATCCTTTATACTTGGAATCCAACTCCTTAATCTAATATGTTACTTATCTTACCCAGCCTCTCACGAACGACGAATGACTTGGGATTATAAGATTAAACATTTAATCTGTGAAAAATCAGATACGTTCGCATTTACTAAGTTTTATTATTAAAATGTTTTCAGATTTTTTTCTATACAACATCAGAATTGTAGTATAATCTTATGTGGCAGATTTACTCCGATAGAAATAACACGAAACGACTGCTGTCTCTACAACGCTATCGCACAAGTCTAGATACATCATGAGCACGAACGCCTACCTTTGCGGATAGGTTATAAGGTTAATCTTGTCTAGATATTGTTTTCTTTTGCCAGTACTACCTGTAACCGTCGCAGCGTCGATAAAGATTAATCAAAGAGCCGCGATAAACTTGGTCGGCCGGCAGCTTTGCGTCGATCTTCGGGACATGGAGACGTCGATCAACGGTAAAAACGTAAAAGCGGTGATCGATCGCCCTGCAGTAGCAAACGAGTCACGATGTGATGGCCCATGATGGATAATTACAAGACTTAAAATAATAATAAGAGGTAACAATAAAAACATAATTAAAACATACTTCATCGTAAATAAGTAAATGGCTGGATATAGAATTGAATTTCAAATTGTACAGTTTAAGAGTGGTACTAGGTAAAATCCTCAAGTCACTGTTTTATTCTAAATAATTTTACGTCTGTTTTTTTGCCAAAAAGCTTCTAAAGCCTGCTTAGGACACAAAAACAAGTTTTAAGAGATATTATTTAAACACGCGTACGTTCACAAAATCAAAGTAAAGTTTATGACAAAGTTAGCTGATCAATCAAGCTCCACTTTTGATTAAAAAATCCGATTCATTACTTATCATGAGGGCTTGAGAATAATCTCTCAACAATCAGTTAAGAAAACCTCCAAGTATATTATTCTCCACTAAACGCAAATCCACAACAGAAACATATGCACTTTGAAAGCAAACATGAAGAAGCAGAAATATTTAGGTAATCTGAGTTTTTATAGTTTCTTGGAGAGTGAAGCGGTGGCATAATTGGTAGTGGGCACGCGACTAGGCTCGTGCGTCGCGAGCCTTACACCCGGTAACCGGCCGCGCTCCACCGGCCGTAACCGATAGAGCGGCGCTAGTAATTGACATTTTATGACTCGTTAAGTTAGATAATCCATTTTATCTGTTCATGAGATCTGCTGGCTAGAAAGATGAAGGAGGACATTATTATTTATCAGAGAAATTTAAATGACACTTTATTTTATGATAGTTTTAAATATATTTAGTACTAACATTTATTATTACTAGATGTAGCAATGATGGAGTTTGAAAAGTACATGCTAAGGAACCATAGGTACTATCACTTAGTTTTTCAAATTTGAACTGGTGATGTCAGTCGATGTATCTATGTATATCAGTTTATGGCGTTAGTTGTAGCAATGATAGAGTTTGAAAAGTACATGCTAAGGAACCATAGGTACCATCACTTAGTTTTTCAAATTTGAACCGGTGATGTCAGTCGATGTATCTATGTATATCAGTTTATGGCGTTAGTTGTAGCAATGATAGAGTTTGAAAAGTACATGCTAAGGAACCATAGGTACTATCACTTAGTTTTTCAAATTTGAACCGGTGATGTCAGTCGATGTATCTATGTATATCAGTTTATGGCGTTAGTTGTAGCAATGATAGAGTTTGAAAAGTACATGCCAAGGAACCATAGGTACCATAACTTAGTTTTTCAAATTTGAACAGGTAATGTCAGTCGATGTATCTGTGTATATCAGTTTATGGCGTTAGTTGTAGCAATGATAGAGTTTGAAAAGTACATGCTAAGGAACCATAGGTACTATCACTTAGTTTTTCAAATTTGAACCGGTGATGTCAGTCGATGTATCTATGTATATCAGTTTATGGCGTTAGTTGTAGCAATGATAGAGTTTGAAAAGTACATGCTAAGGAACCATAGGTACCATCACTTAGTTTTTCAAATTTGAACCGGTGATGTCAGTCGATGTATCTATGTATATCAGTTTATGGCGTTAGTTGTAGCAATGATAGAGTTTGAAAGTACATGCTAAGGAACCATAGGTACCATCACTTAGTTTTTCAAATTTAAACCAGTGATGTCAGTCGATGTATCTATATCAGTTTATGGCGTTAGTGGTAAAATAGCAGCATTTTTGATTCATTGATTTTTCGAATACTCTTTTAATAAGAGTACTTACTTACTGAATAATAATATTCAGTACTAAATTTAGCTAGTGTCCTTTGGAAACGAATCAAATTTGAATGCAACTTATAAAGCACCCGATAATTTATAAAATCGAACTGATAGTTACATTAGTAGTTACCTACTTGTCTGGTAACGTTAATTAATTCTGCAACTTTCAGTGCTAAGATAATTGCTTAATAATTTTACTTTACTTATTTAATTTAAAAAAGTCTTAAAAATACTATAAAACAAAAAGAGGTACAGGAAAATACGTCCATTTTATTAAATAGACAAAAATAAACAATACGTGTGCATCTCTATTTCATAACCTGCAAGACCTGCAACATTCTTACTTAATGCGCTACCATTAACGCACTTGGAAAATTAGCTAAGAAATATGCGCGTTAATGGTCCGCGGTCGGGGCTCCGACGCGACAATCATAATTCTTAAATGAAATGAGAATCATTTCTACTTAGATATAAATACACCGTTTTAAACGCTGCTTTAAGCACATGACTTTTCCGTAAGTATAACAAGCGGTAGTTCTTAAGTATTATTTCTAGACCTTAAGTTGACTTAAGTTCCATAATTACTAGTGTCGTGACTGGTTATTTCAAAACTATTTTTTTATATATATAAAGATCACTGGTCGACCACATTTTTCAAGCAAATTTTGAATTTACGCAGACTCAATGCCAGTTATAGAAATTAGCTGGGCATCGTGTCTGAAATATAAATTAAAAAAAAATTCGTTGACCATTTATCTGTCTTCTGCGCCTGAACACAACTATGCACCAGATCTGATAGTAATAAAATTACATAATAGTTGCTTGGGAGCATTAGAATAAAAAATATGAGATATAGCCAGGTATTAGGTTTAAGTTTACGGGTCATACTCAGAAAAAATGTACATTTGGCACTTTTTTTTGTCCCACTACTTTAATAGCAGATTTAAAATTTGAATATTATGGCACATATTTTTAATCATGTTTACATATATGTTAAGTCTTTAATAGGATCTTTTTTTTATAAATAATATAATATTTTCTTCAAATCATAGTATAAATAGCATTGGGATTTTTTTTATAAAATATCTTCCATACAATTTTTTAATGTCCCAATAACGATTTTTCTTAATAAAAGAGTAATTGTTACGACTATTAGTCGACTTACATAAGATTGACTGTAGTCATTTAGGTCTCTCTTACTCCTCCACCAGGGACTTCCTTTCTAGGGTATACCTGGTTCCCCGGCTATTAGTACCCGGCGAAGGCGTGCGGTTTTATGTCGGTTCGAGTCCGACATGCCACCGACAGGTGGTATCCAAAGGGAATTTCCGCACGGAAAAAAAAAAAAAAAAAGAAAAAAAAAAAAAGGTCTCTTAGTCCATCATTTAAATAGTAATACGATTTATTGTTTAGAACGTTTAATAAAATTATTAATTTTTTTTTTTTTTAAAGACAACGCACCGCACTAGGAATAAATCCTGTGTCGCGGGGACTTTACAAACATACATGAAACGGACACAAAGTACACCCAGACTCAGAACAATAATTTGTGGATCACACAAAGTGTCGTCCCATGTGACTAGACTATTGTGATTAGACAAATAAATTCATTTATTGTGTATACAATAAATGGTACTAACATAATTATTTTTCGGGGTTATAATTTCCCAGAGGTTGTCTTTAGTTTAGTTATATTGCGTTATGTTACGAAACTGAGTAATTGTAAAGCTGAGTTTACGAAGTTACTCTAATTTGAAAAATTAATTATTATCTATTAAAATTTTATTACGTTAATTTAAGGGAACAGAAATGTAATCGTGGTACAATGAAAATGACGAGCTTGATTCCCGAACGTAACAATATATTTCTGTTGAACTAAAAAAAAATATGATTGACTTATTATTTTACTATTTGTGTGGGTACTTGTGCAGAGTAGTCAAGCATTTAGGATATTTTTTATTGAATTATAATTCTATATTTATTTATATTTTTTTTAATTATAATCAATAATATTAATATTTTATTAATTTGATTCTTCAGTTACCAAAATATTTAAATAATGGAGCAGTACGTAACGTTCATATCTTTTTGTTACAAATTTGTTTGTTATGGAGATTTGAGACTTATTTTCATTATGAAAGATTATATTATTTTTAAGAAATATTGTTATTTCTATCTTGCTTATTTTTTTTCAATTTGGTCTTAACGATTCTTGACAACTTGTTTTCTTTCGTTGCTCGAAATATGGAAGGGCCCGATTAAATTTTGACAATATTACTCAGATTATTTAATTGATTTTTTAGAAATGTGTATGATTGCTCTTAGTTATTTTTAAGTTTTGAACAATAATGTGATTTAACGAGAAAACTGTCATTTAATTTATTATATTATATTATTTGTAATTACTACTAAACTTACAATTGCATATTATACTCGTACATACTGATTCATACAATTGAGTTTTTTTAAATTATTTTGTAGCTGGATGGTCCCCCATAATAATTGCAATCAAGCCTTTAGACGTAATGAGTAATTTAAATTTATTAGCTAACAAATTATAATAAACTTAAAGAGTGCGTCCATTGGTACTTTTCTTATGGTTCCTACTCCAATGAAAATACACTTTGTACTTGTTCTTCAAGAGTAGCACTCACTGCACTACGTCACACTAACTTAACTAAACAACTAAATAGGCTTAGGGTTCTTTAGTCTTAATGATATATTCATATCGTTGGAATAATTACTTATTCCCGTCGTTTAGGATGAGCCTGATTTAGATTTCTGAGATATTATGTTTTTATTTAGATTAATTATGCGTGTTCTGTTCAGTATGTACCCTGCTTTACAGTATTAGTTTCGTCACATTGATTCTCCATTTCGTTACTTATCTGTTTATTAACAAATGGCAAATGTACATTTTTTCTGAGTATGACCCTTATAATAAATTAATTAGGAATAAGCAATATAATATGATAAAAATATTTACATACCACTGTAGAAAAATTCCTCCGCATCGCATCGCCTAATGGTAGCGTTTCCAGATGACGTTTAGGTATTATACTTACTTTTGGAATGTTTTGAGTAACTGAAATCAAGTTTGCTGAAATATTTATTACGTTCACTTTTATATTTTTCCTACATTTTCAAATTTAGGTACTCTCTTCTAGAATATCAGTTTCCCTTAAAATATACACTTGAACCCAAATTGTATAACTTGCTGAGTAAAAAATCAATTTAAACAAATACAGTTTTTGAAGCGAGTGCTATCGTCGCCAAAACATGATTCAGTATTGAT